GAAGAAGAATGGTATTCGGCACTCCCTCACCATGCCATACTCCCCTGCAATGAACGGCATCGCCGAGCGAGCGAACCGCACAATCACGGAGGCGGCACGCGGGTTGCTCATTGAAGCCGGGCTACCCGACTATTTCTGGCCTGATGTGGTGCGGAGCGCGTGTGTGGCCAAGAACAGAGCCTTGACTCATGTGGGAGCAGACAAATGGGTGCCCTATGTGGAGTGGCTAGGAAGGAAGCCAAAGGTGGATATGCTTCGGGTGTTCGGGTGCATGTGCATGGCGCTCGTGCCTAAGCATCTTCGGCACAACAAGCTTGGTGCCAAGGCGGTGTGGGCCGTGCACTTGGGCATGGCTCAAAACAGCAAGGGATGGCTTCTTTGGGACCCATTCACCAAGAATTTCTTGGTGAGCAGGGACTGCAAGTTCATGGAGAACTTCATGTACAAGGATTGGAAGGTGGAGAATGAGGCGAAGATAGGCGTGCGGTTTGGGGAGGTGAAGAGTTCCGGTTTGGAGCATGTGGAGCTGCCTTTGGAGCTGAGCAGCGGCAGCACAACCACAAGGCAATCCTCCCTTGTGAATGGGGGAGAGGAGGCCAATGATGCAGAGGAAGAAGAGGAGGAGGTGCAGCAAGTGAGCGAGCGTGCACCGTCACTCCCTTCCCGTACTACGAGTGCTCCACGGATTCGAGCCACACCGCAGCAACGCCAAGGCCTTCAAGTCCCTGCAGCTGAGGAGGAAGGAAGGGGGAAGAGGAGAGTTCAACCCCCTAATAGGCTGACCTATGATGCGCCGGGAAAGCAGGGCAAGACAGCCCTGGCCGGAGCGGCAATGATGGTCGGAGACGACGAGGAGAGTGACTACGAGGAGTGTGCCTTCGCGTTCTTCTCTCCGGTGGAGATGCCGGGAGAACCAGCAACTCTCAAGGAGGCTTTGGAGAGTAGTGATGCTGAGGAGTGGAAGAAGGCCATGGAGAGTGAGCTGAAGAGCATCGAGGAGAATGACACGTTTGAATTGGTGGAGCTACCGGAGGGGCGTACGGCGATAACGTCCAAGTGGCTCTTCAAAATCAAGTCGGATGCCGACGGCAAGATCGAGCGCTACAAGTCTAGGCTTGTAGCCAAGGGGTACCAGCAGAAGGAGAAGGTGGACTTCAAGGAGCTGTTTGCCCCTGTGGTGAAGCCGACGACGCTGCGAACCCTATTCGCGGGAGCCGCCATCAAAGGATGGGTAGTAAAGCAAATGGACATCGTAACGGCATTCCTTAACGGCATCCTTGAGGAGGAGATTTTTATGGCGCAGCCAGAGGGGTTTGATGATGGTAGTGGCAGAGTGTGGAAGCTGAAGAAGGCCCTCTATGGGCTGAAGCAGGCCCCTAGGCAATGGTACATGAAGCTGCGCGAAGTGTTGGAGGGGATCGGCTTCACTCCCTCAACGGCCGATCACTCCTTGTTCATGCTTGGCGAGGGGGAGCAGAGGAGTTTCATGGTGGTTTATGTGGATGACATCCTCATTTTCTCACCCTCTTCTGACCTTGTGAAGGAGGTGATGCTGAAGCTTCAAGACAAGTTCAAGTGCAAGGCCCTTGGTGACGTGAGCTTCTACCTTGGGCTCCACATCGAACGAGATATGGAGAAGCGGTGCATGCGGGTGCATCAACGAAAGTTCCTGGAGGCATTGGCTGCCAACTTTGGGCAGAGTGAAGGCCATGTGGCTACACCCTTTCCCTCTGGGTTCAAGTGTGTGAAGGGACCAGAGGAGGAGAGCGTTGGTGAAGAGGAGAGGCGCCGATTTCACTCGTTGGTGGGCAGCCTCATGTATGCGGCGGTAAACACCCGACCGGACGTCGCGTTTGCTACCGGGCAGCTGGCTAGGGTTGTGCAATGCCCTAATGAGGAGCAGGTAGCAGCTGGACTGAGGGTGGCCAAGTATCTTGGCCAAACACCGACCGTTGGGCTGCAATACTCGGCGGCGGCACAAAGGCGCCAAAAGGGCGCGGATGGTGTTGAACCCGGGCGTTTGTTCCTCACCGCCTACTCGGATGCTTCATATGCATCAGAACCAGAGGACATGACAAGTGTGGGAGGCTTCATATGCTGTGTTGGTGGAGGCCCAACTGCTTGGGAGAGCAAGAAGCAGGTTGACCAAGCTTTGAGCTCGGTGGAGTCCGAGTACATGGCACTCTTCCGTGCCGTACGGGAGATTGTGTGGCAGCGGCGTTTGTTGGCTGAATTGGGGGAGGAGCAGCAAGGACCTACCCCACTGTACTGTGACAGCCAGGGTGCCATTGCTCTTGCTAAGAACCCTGTGTTGCATGGACTCACGAAGCACATGAGGGTGAAGTGGCATTGGACGAGGAGCATGGTAACCGCGGGTGAAGTTGAGTTGCGCTACGTGAAGACCACGGGGCAGCCGGCTGACATGATGACCAAGAGGCTGGTGGAGCAGCAGCATTGGAAGTGTTGCAAGCTGGCTGGGATGGCTCTGAACTGAGAGAGCAACATATCCTAAGGCCAACAATCCGAGGGGGAGTTTGTTGGTGCAACCCTACGGTTTGCACTCGGCTTGTTGTCCGTGTGCGTGAATGTGTGTGTGTATGGAATGGTATGAGGGCATGGGATAATATATATTTCATGCTTATAATTGTGTGTGAATGTTGAGTCATGATGTCGAGTGTGTGTGTCGAGTCAATAGCGAGTTATCGCTAGACGCGTGTTACGCGGTCGTTTGTGTCTCGCGCGCGGTTTCTATTTTGTCGTGCGCGGTTTCTATTTTGTCCTGTGTCGAACGTTCGGCGTGTCGCAGGTGTGTGCAGCAGACCCATCAAGAACTCAAGGATGAGTTTGTGATGAAGAGCCCGAGCCTTGGTGTCAAGCCTCAAGTGATTTCGAAGCTTGCCAAAAGGGTACACCTCAAGATATTGAAGATAGTTACATTACTTTGTGTAGTGTAACATTTCACTTGGTGTATGCCCTAGTGAAGGGTAGTTTCGAGACCCTTCGTGGTTGGGGACAGTGTGGCACTGTTCCACATCACTGTACCTCGGCTCTTGGGGTTTGTAGGAGCTGGGAGTCATTCCCAACTCGTAACTCTTCCTATCTTGTGTTCTAAGACTATAGTGGCTGCCATAGTACCGTTCGTTCAAACCGACGCTGTGTCGTCAATTCTTTATCAAATCGTGCAATCTAAATTGCTAATTGTAGACGACGTGAAGACGCTCCAGATCCAATTTGAATCAAGTCATTTGCAGCTGTGAGCAGAACGCTATCAACGTTTGAAGCCGCTGTGCAGAAATCCGTCTGTGCTCTCTATCTTTCATTTTAGGCACATTCAAGCCTATTGTGACTATAACAGCGACCTGGGGGGCCGCGTGTCGCCCCCCCTGTCGCCCGTCGCGGCGACCTGGGGGGCCGCGCGTCGCCCCCCCCGTCGCCCGTTGCGGCGACTGGGGGGCCGCGCGTCGCCCCCCCCCCCCTCGTCGCCTGTCGTGGCGCCCTGGGGGGCCGCGCGTTGGCCCCTTCTGACCTTCGTCGCGGCACTGCACTGCAGCCCCCCCCCCTAACCTTCCTACCCGCCATCTACGGCCTTGCACTGTGTTAGGGTTTGGGGGTGGCGAGTAAGGGGTGGCGGGTGTGTGCGTCCTCCCCTGCTCCTCCTCCTCCTCCGTCTCCCACTGCTGCAGCTGCCGCTGAGGGGGGTGGATGTGTGGGAGCTATCGGAGTGGTACTAAGGGGGAGGCGTGTGAGCAGTGCTAGAGGTGCCGCAGGGGGTGTTTCATAGGGGGGTGGTACAATTTGGGGAGGTTGAAGGGGGGTGGCCGCCATGAAGCCAGCAGCTCCAGTCGCCCGTGAGCCCGTTGCGCCAGTCGCCCGTGAGCCCGTTGCTCCAGTTGCCGGTGAGCCCGTTTCTCCAGTTGCCCGTGGGTCCGTTGCTCCTGCCGCTCAGAGTTAGCCGCGGAGCCAGTTACTCCAGTAGCCCGTGTGCCAGTTGCTCCAGTTGCCCGTGTGCCAGTTGCTCCAGTTGCGCCATGTGCCAGCAGCTTCAGCTGCCGTCCACTACCTCCTCTCCTCTCATAGTCCCTCCTCCTCCACACTTGCCCTCTGTGATAGCTTCTAGCTTTGCTTATTATTATTGTGAACTATTGTTTGCTTACTTGTGCTCAGAATGTGTGGTGACATTGTGATCCACCCTGAGCTTGTTTTTGCTTTGCTTTGCTTCTTGTGCTGATTACACCCCACTTTGGCTATGGGGGTGTGTCAGAATGTTATATTTGTCTAGCCTGCAGTGGGGTACTCAATAGTGAGTACAGCCCAATCTAGGGTTTGCTATATGTACTCAACTACTTGCTAGTGAAACTCTCTCTTTCCTCTTCCTTGTTTCCAACTTTCAACTGTTGTTTCCAACAGCCCCCAGTTGTGGCCCCTCGCGACCCTAGGCCCCGTCGCCTCGACCCCTTGGCCCCGTCGCCCCTAGCCGCGGCCCTCGTCGACCTGTCGCCCCGTTGCCCCTAGCTACGGCCCCTCGCGGCCTGCCGCCCCTAACCGCGGCCCCGTCGCCTCTAGCCTCGGCCCCTCGCGACCTGTCGCCCCTAGCCGCGGCCCCGGTGCCCTGTCGCATCATGGAGGGTAAGGGGATGGCAAGAGGGGTGACGGTTTCTTCCTGCCCGCGCGCCCTGCAGTCGCACGCGCAGCTCCGCCCCCGCCCCCCTCCCCCCCCTCCCCCCCCTCCATGGGGACGGGAGGGAGAGGGTGTGAGGGGGTGGCGGATGTGCTTCAGCAGCAGCAGCTGCCGCCACGCCTCCTCCTCTCTCTCTCCCTGCCGCACCCTGTGTTGGGAGGGGGGGGGGGGAGCTTGGAGGTTCACGGGGAGGCAGGACGGGATCTGCAGCACCACTCCCCCCGCCCCCCCTTTCTCCTCCATCCCTGGCGGGTGAAGGATTGTGGAGCAGCAGTGGGGGGGAGGGGATCTGCAGCACCAGCCCCCCCCCGCCCCCCCCTTATCATCCATCCCCCTGCTGTGGGTGCAGCAGTGGGGGGGAGGGGATCTCCAGCACCAACCCCCCCGTCCCCCCCCCTTCTCCTTCATCCCTGGGGGGTGACGGATAGTGGAGCAGCAATGGTGGGGAGGGGATCTGCAGCATCAGCCCCCCCCCGCCCCCCTTTCTCCTCTCTCTCTCTCCCTGCCGCACCTTGTGTTGGGTGGGGAGGGGGGAGCTTGGAGGTTAAGGGGGTGGCAAGAGGGTCTACAGCACCAGCCCCCCCGCCCCCCCCCCCTTTCTCCTCCATCCCTCTGCTGCGAGTGCAGCAGTGGGGGGGAGAGGATCTGCTGCTGTGGGGGGAGAGTATGGGGGAGCTTGGAGGTTCAGCGGGTGGCAGGAGGGGATCTGCAGCCCCAGCCCCCCCCGCCCCCCCCCCCCCCCCCCCCCTTCTCCTCCACCCCCCTGCTGCGGGTGCATCAGTGGGGGGGGAGGGGATCTGCAGCACCAGCCCCCCCCGCCCCCCCCCCCCCCCCCCTCCCTTCTCCTCCATCCTCCTGCTGCGGGTGCAGCAGTTGGGGGGAGAGGATCTGCAGCCCTGTGCGCCCCGCGTGCCCTGCTGCCCTGCAGCCCTGTGCGCCCTGCTGCCCTGCTGCCCTGTGCGCCCCGCGCGCCCTGCAGCCCTGCTGCGCCCCGCACGCCCTGCTGCCCTGCTGCCCTGTGCACCCCGCGCGCCCTGCAGCCCTGCGCGCCCTGCGCGCCCTGCTGTCCTGCTGCCCTGCGCGCCCTGCAGCCCTGCGCGCCCCGCGCGCCCTGCTGCCCTGCAGCCCTGTGCGCCTTGCTGCCCTGTTTGCCCCGCGTGCCCTGCTGCCCTGCTGCCCTGCAGCCCTGCTGCCCTGTGCGCCCTGCTGCCCTGCTTCCTGTTGTGCCAAAGCACTATAGTGGCACAGTCATCGCACTCCCATTCAACCTACAAGCCTGTTCAGCTTCTGGAATTTTGTGGGGAGGTGCTTCAACATGTGTTTTTCACACCCTCAAAGTTTCAGAATTGTTGAAGCAGTTTACAAGGCATGGCAACATTTTTTAGTTTCAAGACTTATGGCATCCCGGAAGTGTGTGTTACTCTTTTTTGGTAACACCCGAGTTCGCCATTTCGGCTGCTGACTCATCTACCAAGCTCTGATTGGTCTGAAAATCGGTGTGGCAGTCCTTTGCCGTGTTTTCCAGGTTGTCACCGAGTTTCAGGACAAGCCAGCATCGGAGCAGCACGTGACAGCTGTCGAAAGTTACTGTTCCGTAGTCATGGTGCACTGTTGGCAGCATTTCCCTTGCCACCCTTTCATTGTTGTCATGCCAATGGTGCAGGGACAGAGAATGAGACAAGAAGTACAGGTGGTCAAGTGGGACTCTACCACCCTCCTTTTGAGAAGTGTGGTCTTCCTGGAAGCAGCTTGCAAGAGGGTGCAAGTGGGAAGACAAGCTGACTCATGGTTGGCTTGACTCACTAATGGTAGCCTTGAGTACAGCTCTGAACATCCAAGTGTGGTTGGCTTTGCTGACCTAGCTAGGAAGTTTCCCATCCTTCTCTAGCCTTTCTCCCCTAGGACTCAACCTTCTCTGAGTTCCCAGGATGATCCCAACCCCTTAAGAGTCCCCTAGGCAATGTTGTACTCAACCTCTTCCTTGCATCAATGAAACTACAAGTTTTCAGCCGAGCTTACGTTTTGGTTCACTGCGTAGCGAATACATCTTTGATGAAAGCAAGCAATATACCGTTGGAAAGCAAACACCTGAAGCTAACGTCTGTCCAAGTTTCAGCCTCGTATGTTATTGGAGCTGATCGTGACGGCGTTTTGAACAGAGGCGGTTCGAAGTCATCAGATTCTGCTTAGGTTGTTTCAAGGACATCTACGACCCCTAAGTGGACTCTAGAATATAACACTTCCCTGTGCGCCCCGCGCGCCCTGCAGCCCTGCTGCGCCCCGCACGCCCTGCTGCCCTGTGCGCCCCGCGCGCCCTGCAGCCCTGCGCGCCCTGCTGTCCTGCTGCCCTGCGCGCCCCGCGCGCCCTGCTGCCCTGCAGCCCTGTGCGCCCTGCTGCCCTGCTGCCCTGTGCGCCCCGCGCGCCCTGCAGCCCTGCGCGCCCCGCGCGCCCTGCTGTCCTGCTACCCTGCGCGCCCTGCAGCCCTGCGCGCCCCGCGTGCCCCACGCGCCCTGCAGCCCTGTGCGCCCCGCGCGCCCTGCTGCCCTGCTGCCCTGTGCGCCCCGTGCGCCCTGCTGCCCTCTGCACGTGCCATGCACAGCCCCTACCCCGCCCTCCCCCCTCCCCCCCCCTTCTCCTCCATTCCCCTGGTGCGGGTGTCGCAGTGGGGGGAGGGGATCTGCAGCACCAGCCCCCCCCCCCCCCCCCCCCCCCCCCCCCTTCTCCTCCGTCCCCCTGCTGCGTGTGCAGCAGTGGGGGGGGGAGTATGGGGGTGGCGGTTATGAGGAGCCAGCAGCCGCCCCTCCTCCTCTCTCTCTCACGGCCGCGCGTGCCACTGTGGGGGGAGGGTGAGGCGGTGGTTTGTTGATTTTTTTGCTCGTCTGCCGTAGCCTTGCCCTGCTTGTACTCGCACTTGTATATCTTATGTAACCTCTTGGACTGGCCTTGTGGCCGCTTGCTAGTGCTCAGAGTGCGTGGTGATCTTGAGATCCACCCTGAGCTTGCTTTGCTTTGTTCCTTCTCCTGACTGGTCTTGTGACCGCTTTGTTGTGTTTTCTATCCCCCACTTCGCCTATGGGGGTGTGTCAAATTATAAGTTTACTGCTATCTAGGCTGTAGTGGGTTTAGCCTTAGGGGGTACAGTAAATTGCTCGACACTTCATTGTATCCCCCTCCTTGCCCTAATCCACATCATTCCTTCTCAACTCTCTCGACACTTGCCTAACTCTCACACCCTGGCTATGGCTCCTATGATTTTAACAACTGTTTCCTTTGTGTGGACGTCAAAAATCTTCCATGCGTTGTAGTGTTTTTCGATGCCCAGGTGTAGTCCCCACTGTGCGCGTTGGGAGAATCGGCCGGCTCGTGCAATTGGGGGTCGGTACTGTACCATGCAGCCGAATACTCGTAACATTTTTATGATGCCCAATTTTCCTGTCTGTCAGAATGTTATATTGCTTACAATTGTGTGGGCTATAATGGGGTAGCCCATAAGGGGTACAACCCAATTAGGGTTAGTACTTGTACCCAACTGTTTGATAGTGCATTCATTCTCGTTCGCTCTTTCTGACATGGTTTCAGAGCAGGTCCCTTCTAGGACCGTTTTTTGGGCCCACCACCTGCTGCCCTGCTAGCCACCATCGCGACCCGTAGGCCCCCCTAGGCCCCGACCCGTCACTGCTCCTAGCCCGGCCCGTCGCCCTTAGGCCCGACGCCCCTTGGCATCGCTCGTCGCCCCTAGCCCAGCCCCTCGTCGCCCGTCGCCCCTAGCCGCGGCCACGTCGCCCCGTTGCCCCTAGCCGCGGCCCCTCGGCCCCGTCGCCCCTAGCTGCGGCCCCTCGCGACCCGTCGCCCCAAGCCGCGGCCCCGTCGCCCCTAGCCGCGGCCACGTCGCCCCGTCGCCCCTAGACTCGGCCCCTTGGCCCCGTCGCGCCTAGCCGCGGCCCCTCGGCCCCGTCGCCCCTAGCTGCGGCCCCTCGCGACCCGTCACCCCGTCGCCCCTAGCCGCGGCCCCGTCGCCCCTAGCCTCGGCCCCGTGGCCCCACGCGACACGTCGCCCGCCCCCCCCCCCCCCCTAACCTAGGTCCAGGCCCCGCGGCCACGTCGCCCCATCGCCCCTAGCCTCGGCCCAGCGGCCCCTCGCGACATGTCGCCCCGTCGCACCTAGCCGCGGCCCCCGTCGACCCGTCGCCCCGTCGCCCCTAGCCTCGGCCCCTCGTAACCTGTCGCCCCTAACCGCGGCCCCGTCGCCCCTAGCCTCGGCCCCTCGCGACCCGTCGTCCCGTCGCCCCGTCGCCCCTAGCCGCGGCCACTCGCGACCCGTCGCCCCTAGCCTCGGCCCCTCGGCCCCATCGCCCCTAGCCTCGGCCCCTAGGCCCCCGGCACCTCGGCCCCAAAGCCCCTCGGCCCCTTGGCCCCTTGGCCTCCCCTTGGCCCCTTGACCCCCCTTGGGCCCCTCGGCCCCTTGGCCCCTCGCCCCCCCCCTTTCGTGTTTGGCCCCTCGGCCCCTAGGCCCCTCGGCCCCTAGGCTACTCAACCCCTCGGCCCCTTCGACCTCGGCCCCTCGGCACCTTGGCCCCTAGGCCCCAGGCCCCTCGGCACCTTGGCCCCTCGGACCCTCGGCCCCCCTTCGTGTTTGGCCCCTCGGCCCCTAGACCCCAGGCCCCTCGGCCCCTTCGTCCCTGGCCCCGCGGCCCCGTCCCCCCCCTAGGCCCTCGGCCCCTCGGCCCCCTGGCCCCTCGGCCCCCTTGGCACCTCGGCCTCCGGCACCTCAGCCCCTTGGCCCCTAGGCCCCTCGGCCCCAGCTGCTGCTCTTACTACTGCTGCTACTGCTACTGCTACTGTTACTGCTGCTACTGCTACTGCTGCCACTGCTGCTCCTACGTATTGTGCCCCGATGTCTTCGCTGCGAGTTCTAGCGTTTGATCATGAGGGCAGACCGATTCAGTTTGATACATGGCTTGATGATTTGCAGCTGTACCTACAGAGCGATTCTAAGGACAATGTTTTGCTGTTTGACCTAGCGTCAGGCGCTCCTACTGCCCCTCCCGCCACAGCTGACAGTGCGACTCGCTCACAGTGGCTTACTCGCGACGCTGCTGCCCGCTTAGCCATTCGCAACCACCTGCCGTTAGCCGAATGCGCTCACTTCGGACAGCACAGGACAGCACAGGCACTGTACGCGGCAGTCGTAGCTCGCTACTCCTCGCCTGCCACTGCTGCTCTTGGCCGACTGCTGCTCTTGGCCGACTGCTACTGCCCTACCTGTTCCCCAAGCTGTCAGCTTTCACCACAGTAGAGGACCTGGTTTCCCACCTGCGCACTAGCGATGCTCGCTACCGCGCTACCGTCCCTGCTGAGTTCCTTGACAGGAACCAGCCCCGATGTTCATCACCCTCTACTTCATAGTCACTCGCCTCCCTGACTCTCTTCGCTCTGTCAGGGATCACTTTCTCTCCCTTGACCCCACCTCCCTCACTGTTGACCTCCTCGAGCAGCATCTCCTCGCAGCTGAGACTAGTGCAGTTGCTGTGGGTGCTGCTCGTGGCACTCCGCGCACACACTTCTTTGAGGGGTGCTCCCCCTCCCCCCTTGCCCCCTCCTATGCCTCGGCTGCTGCTGCAGACATCTCTGTTGCTGAGTACGTCGGGGCTGCTTCAGCTAGTGCGAAGCGCCGCAGCAGAAAGGGCAAGGGTGGTAGGGGTGGTGGAGGTGGCAGCGGTTGTGGTGGAGGTGGCAGCGGGAGTAGTGGTGGGGGCAGCAGTGGAGGTAGTGGAGGCAGTGGAGGTGGTGGCGGCGGTGGGACTGGTGGCGGGAGTGGGGGCTCTGGTGGCGGCGGTGGAGGCAGCGGTGGGAGTGGCGGCAGTGGAGGCGGTGGGACTGGAGGCGGTAGGGCTGGACCTAGGCATGGAGGCCCTGGTGGTGGCCAGTGGCAGCAGCAGCAGCAGCGTCGGAGCGAGACCCAGTTTCCCCAGCAGCTCCGTGAGTGGTCGTTTCAACGTGGGACGTCTGGGGGTAGTGATAGCTGCCCGTATGTCATTTGCACGGGTGTTCGTGCTAGTCAGACATGTGGGAAGCTTCACACTCAGCACCACTGCTTCTCCCGCCTCGACGACGCTTGGCGTGCTGAGTTTGGTGACGACGTCGAGCTCCCTCGCTGGGCAGATCTTCTTAGGTCTAGGATTGCTATCTTTGACCAGGTCAACCCTAGGTCAAAGAT